CTGGCTCTGCCATGGACCTGCTGCGTGTATTTGGTCAAGTCACTGCCCTTCTCTGTGCCTCAGTTTCCCCATCTGTAAAATAGGAAAATGTTACTTACCTCGGGCCCTGAGCCTTTGGAAACTGGGTCTATAATAGCCTGAATTTGTCAGCCTTCAAACCACGCTGGAAGACCCATCTTGTTCAAGCAGATGGGTGATTGCTAGCAGTGGTGGAGATTCTGGGCAGGTAAATTAATTTCGGGTGATACCGATGCTGTCGCTGGGTTCTTTCATTTGATCTTGGGTCTGTTTATAAATGATATGTGTATTTTAAGATAGCTGGGGAGCCCGGAGTATCACAATCTTCTATTACAGGGAAGTAAAAACTGAAATAAATAAATAAAAGGAGCTTTCTTGGTAAAGTATTTTGTAGTTTGCAACTGAAAAACCCAGTTACAATGGGAAGCAATTTCTTTCCCAGCTCTTCTCAAGTCACATCTACCCTCCTACTGGAACTAGTTCTTCCCCATTCCTGCTCCCGGAGCTTTTTTTAGTCACTTCTCCTGCAAACTCTGCCTGGATTGGAAGCGGCGAGCAGCAAAGTGCTTGCAGATAGCACGCTCGGTTTGGTTGCTAGCGTTTGTGCTGGGGGCTTTAAAAGGAAGCTGGGAGGATATGCCGCGTAGGCTTTTCTAAGCAGAGCGGTCAATGTTCTGTTGTGAAATGACAGGACTCGCTGCAGAGAAACCACACGGAGCAGAGGAAGTCGTTGACCGACCATCTCGAAGGAGTCTCTTTGCTGTCACTCGCTGTCAGAAATTCGCCTCCGCTGTCATCTCGGGGTGTCAAGAGCAGGGAGGGTGACATGAAATATTCCAGCTATTAACAGCGACCGGTGCAGCTGATTCTCTCTTCTGGAACCAGATCATGAGGATCTCCTTGTGTTTGCTGCTTTTCTCTGTGGTACACGGTGGAGGTATGCAGTGTTAATTTTTACATCAGGTTCGAGGGAACCCCGTTAACTCACCAGTCGTGTCACCAAGTCTGTGCAACAGACAGGAGGGGGGGCTACATGGCTTAAGAGCTGAGTTGTAGGCTGCAGAACGCTTCACCTCGAGGGTGCCACCCCAGCTTGGTGGCCATGCAATAAGCTTGCGGGGGTCTCGGTCCCAAACGGACGAGCCTCCTAGGCACAAAACACCCACTGAAGCTGGGTCTGGTTATCTCCCCTTGTTGGCACCTTAGCAGAACAGTCCAGGGCCAAAGGCACGGCTCCGCTCCCTCAGCCCCGGAGCAGGAGAGGGGGAAATGGACGGGAAGGGAGAAGAGGGTCTGGTCTTTTAGCTTGATGGTGGAGCAGTGCAAAGAGAACGGGAGTGCAGGCAAAAAACTGGCCCTTTGCATTTTAATTTTCTTTATAGCTCTGCAATGAGCCATGGGGATAATTACAGAGCAGCACCTGGGCAAAGGACAAATTGTGGGAGTCGACTTTAACCCCATTCTAGAGCGTGATCGAGAGACAATCTATTATACATCTATACCAATTCCTGGAGCCTGTCCTCAGGTGGGGTAAATCAGCATAGCTGTATTTACTTCAGTGGAATGATGCTGACTTACAAGTGGGGAGAATCTGGCCTCTTGGTTTAGCTAAGCTCTGCCGTGGGCTTGAAATGCACCATTTGCAAACACGTATATAGAAAAAAGCTGCCCGAATGTTTGCAAACAGCAGCTAATCAGAAGGTGCACCCGGGCTCATTCGAAACTGCGAGTTGAGTTTGGCGAGTTGTTTGCACTTGGGTTTTCACACCGTTGAAACAGCTCTGCCGTGGAATAACAGACCTGAATTGCACAGACACAACAACTTTCTTAAACTCTGGGGACAACACTGGGGCTAAAGTCACTGGCCTAAATCTTCCCAAGTGACGAGTGATTGGGATGCTTCAATTTCTAGAGGCCTTCAAGGGATCTGTCCTGAGCAACCCAGCTCCCGTTGAGTCGGGCCAGGGATAGCCACTCACTCTTAAAATTCAGGCTGATTCCTATCGTGCTGTCAGCTCGCCTGGGGCTCTGCACACCATTTTGTGTCATGGCCACAGAGGGGAATGTTTTCAAAAGCACCTAAATCCCACTGGCTTTCAATAAGACTTAAGGACCAGATTTTCAAAGGTGTTTAGGTGCCTAAAGATGCAGATAGGTGCCTACAAGAATTTTCAAAATCACCCTGGCTCCTAACTCACATAGGCACTTAGGTGCTTTTGAAAATCCCACTCGGGCACCTCAGCACCTATGGGAGTTAGATGCCTAGGGGGATTTTCAAAGTCACCGTGGTACCTAGCTATATCTTTAGGTGCCTAAGTACTTTGGTGCTCTGGCCCTAAGTGCCTAAGTCACTTTTGAAAATGGGACCTAGGTTCCTAACTCACTTGAGTGCTTCGGAAAATGTTACCCTGAGTCTATTTGTGTTGCAACATTTTTGGAAAACGCTGCCTTGTGTTCTAGCTCCCCCGTGACACGAGGCTGTCTGTAGGCTCCCAGGGCACTGTCTACCCATCTGGGACAATGCTGATTTACTTCAGTAGCAAGATGCGGCTGGGGCTTTATACTCTGGGGTGATTTGGGTGGGTGGGCTGGCAAAAGATAGGCTGCAGGCATGACTCCAAAGTGGGCTGATCTCTGAAGACTGGGTGGTGTAGCAGGCTGGTATGGGAATGCAGAACCTTTCCCCGGTTCAGATCCGGTGCAGGTCTGTAATGACAGACAGCTATCGTCAGCTGGAAGCTGTTTGGTGGGGTGCATCGCAAGAAATGCTCTCAGCCCACTTCTCAGAGTGCACATCGCAGCGTTGTGCCCCAGTCCTAGTAGAGAGACCAAAGGGAGCCTGAAAACTTAACCATCCCTCTCACTCCTCCATGCTGATCCCTTTAGTGCAGGTCTGTGGGGGAGCATGGGGCGAGCTTGCATTACCTCTGCTGAATCAGTCCTGTGGGAGCCTGTTCGATAGTCCTTCCATTGGATCAGGGTCTGGATTAACAGAGGATCTGGCAAATGATTCGAGTGAACAGATGCGGTTTAAACAACACCCTGTCAGCCAGTTCCTGCTCCCAGTGACACCGGTGTGAATGGTGGAGTCACTGGATTTACAGCAGAATTCAGCCCAGTGTCCCTGCAATGTGTGTCTGTTACTATGCCTTGTTCTGCACCAGCGTGCGTGCTTGGGGCTGTGCAGACAAACCGAAATGCCTTATGTGCTCTGAGCCAGAGAGTTCAGCTACTAAAGTGGAGAACCTCAGCTGGGGACAACTGAGATCGCCTGAGGGATTTCCTTGGAGCTGTGTCAACTGACACCCACTGAGGATCTGGCCCTTAAAGTATTAGACACGGCACAAGGGAGAACAACAAGATAATAGAGGAAGGGGAGCAAAGATAAGATCTTGCCGTTACAACAGTTAGTTGCGTCCAATACAGATGGTACCTACTACACACACTGTACATATACAGGGCACAGGGCTCAGTTCTCCTCTCACTTTTGCACTAGTCTGACTTCACAGGGGTTGCTTCCGATTCACACTGGTGTCAATGAGAAGTGAATCAGGCTGGATGTGATCCTCAGCAGCTGTAAATCCATTGAAGCCAGCAGTGCTATGCCAATTTACACCAGCTGAGGGTCTGACCCGCTGGTGTGTATGTGTGTGTGTGTGTGGGGGGGAGAAATACATCTTAAAAAGAACTGTTCAGTCCCAGAAACAGGACATGTTTCTAAAAAGCCATGATTGGCAAGGGTTAACTATAGCCTGGCAAGCAGCCCTTCCTCCGGTGATGATTTGGTAAAAGATTAGAACAGAACCTTACTTGAAAACTGAATTCCCATTGGCCTGGCTGTTCACCCATCCCCCAAGTTGCAATTAAACAACAACAGGTTGGGTTAGGGTGGCCCCATGGGTAGGGCCCTACCAAATTCGCAGTCAATTTTGGTCAATTTCACGGTCGTAAGATTTAAAAAAATCGTAACTTTCATGATTTCAGCTATTTAAATCTGAAATGTCACGGTGTTGTAATGAAGGCGCTGTGGTCAGAAAGCTGCAGCTGCTGGCCAGGAGCCCAGCTCTGAAGGCAGCGCTGCCGCCAGCAGCAGCGCAGAAGTAGGGATGGCATAGTAGGGTGTTGTCA